ATCACACCACTGCACTCCAGTCTGGGCAACAAGAATGAAACTCTGTCTCAAATAAAAAAGAGAGAGAGAGAGAGAAGAAAAAGAGATTGGGCACAGAGAGGTGAAGCAAGTTGTCCAAGGCAGCTCAGCCTATGAGGTCTGAAGCACAAGCCAGTGTCTCCCTGAGCCAGACACAAAGGCCTTGTTTGAATGAAGTCACAACAGAGAGTGCTGATTCTCTCACTCCCAACTGACCTCTATGCACCGTGCTGGAGGGTTGCCTATCATCTTCACGTGACTAAGGAGGGCTATTATACCCATTTCACAGATGCAGAACTGAGGCTCAGAGAGGCTGAGCAATTCACCCGAGGACACACAACAGGTGAATGAGAAGCCAGGTGCTATGTGTCTCCTGCTTTAACCCTTGTTGACCTCAGAGGGCAGACAACGCACTTCTACTGCCTTGAGGGGGAACAGGGGTGTGACAGAGCACCCAGGTGGGCTTACGGTAGGTGAGCTTATGTAGCCCAGCTGGGCCAGTGTGATAGGCCCGTGGGGAGGCCCCCAGCAGGACCTGAGCCCTTTCTGCCCGGCAGCAGAGGAGGAAGTCGTTTTGCCTGTCTGCCTGAGTACAAGCACAATGCCAGGGCTGGCCAGTCTGCTAGGCATGCCAGGCCTGCACCCAGGACCCGGTGCTGTGACGGCCTTCCCAGAGGGCTTCGGCTTATTTAAAATCAGAAGAAAAACACTGAACCTCCTAAGAATAAATACACAAGGAGGAATCCAGCCTGGACCGCATCGGTGGTCCCGAGAGGGAGGCCTTCAAAAGAATGAAGACATTTGCACTGGCAGCCCTGGTTCCCCAGCTTGGAACCGCTTTACAGTGAGTGGGGCCGCTTGCCCTGAGTTTTTCTTTTCTCCTCCTTTTCCTCCTTCCTCCTTCTTCCTCCTCTTCTTTTCTTTCTTTTTTTTTTTTTGAAACAGAGTCTTGCTCTGTCGCCAGGCTGGAGTGCAGTGGCGCGATCTCGGTTCACTGCAACCTCCACCTCCCAGGTTCAAACGATTCTCCTGCCTCAGCCTCCTGGGTAGCTGCCATGACAGGTGCCCAGCACCACCCTGGGCTAATTTTTCATATTTTTAGTAAAGACAGGGTTTCACCATATTGGCCAGGCTGCTCTTGAGCTCCTGATGTCAGGTGATCCATCTGCCTTGGCCTCCCAAAGTGTTGGGAGTTATTGTGAGAATGGGGCAGCCGTTGCAACTTATTTTAAAAACAGTTTTGCGTTTTATAAAATGGCATTGCTCAGGTTCTGGCTCTAGGCTAGCACAACCGCACCCAGCAAAAATATTGTTTTAATTAGCCAGGCGTGGTGGTGCATGCCTGTAGTCCCAGCTACTTGAAAGGCCGAGGCAGGAGGATCCCTTGGGTCCAGGAGTTCAAGGCTACAGTGAGCTATGACTACCCCGGCACTCCAGTCTGGGTGACAGACTGAAACCCTGTCTCTAAAATAAGTTAATCAATCAATAAAAATATTTTTGAACATTTTGTGATTGAGGAAGTCCTGGTGTGGATCTCTGCGGGCCATGAGATCACAGCTTGTCCAGGCTGCATTCAGTTTCAAGGCCTTTGTGCCTGCTCTTCCCCTCAGCAGCCTGGGCAACATAGCAAGACCCCATCTCTACAAAAAATACACTCTTTCGGCAGCACACACTCCCCAAATCCAGATGTCTCCTCACCCGCAAATGCCCCTTCCTCCAGGTCAGTGAGGCCACCTCTGGGGGATTGTGCAATTGCTGCTCCCCCTTCTTATTCCCTCTTTGGGTTTTTTTGTTTGTTTGGGTTGTTTTGTTTTTAAGACAGAGTTTCCCTGTGCTGCCCAGGCTGGAGTACAGTGGCGTGATCTCAGCTCACTGCAACCTCTGCCTCCCTAGTTCAAGCAATTCTTCTGCCTCAGCCTCCTGAGTAGCTGGGACTACAGGCGCCAATCACCACGCCTGGCTGATATTTGTATTTTTAGCAGAGACAGGGTTTCACCATGTTAGCCAGGCTGGTCTCGAACTCCTGGCCTCAAGCGATCCACCTGCCTCAGCCTCCCAAAGTGCTGGGATTACAGGCATGAGCCACTGCTCCTGGCCTCTGTTTCCTCTTTGTTGTTTTTGTTTTCGTTTTGAGAAGGAGTCTCGCTCTGTCGCCCAGGCTGGAGTGCAGTGGTGTGATTTCAGCTCACTGCAACCTCCGGCTCCTGGGTTCAAGTGATTCTTGTGCCTCAGCCTCCCAAGTAGCTGGGATTACAGGTGCATACCACCACCCTCGGCTAATTTTTGTTTTGTTGTGTTTTATTTGTTTTCTGGAGATGGAATTTCACTCTTGTTGCCCAGGCTGGAGTGCAGTGGCACGATCTCAGCTCACTGCAACCTCCGCCTCCCCGGTTCAAGCAATTCTCCTGCCTCAGCCTCCCAAGTAGCTGGGATTACAGGCACCTGCCACCACGCCCAGCTAATTTTTTGTATTTTTAGTAGTGGTCAGATTTTACCATGTTGGCTGGGCTGATCTTGAACTCCTGACATCAGGTGATCTGCCGTCCTCAGCCTCCCAAAGTGCTGGAATTACAGGCATGTGCCATCGCGCCCGGCCTAATTTTTATATTTTAATAGAGATGGGGTTTTGCCACGTGGGCCGGGCTGGTCTCAAACTCCTGACTTCAAATGATCCACCCGCCTCAGCCTCCCAAAGTGCTGGGATTACAGGCATGAGCCACTGCTCCTGTCGCCTGTTCCCCCTTTGGAATGGCGTGTTCCTCCTCTTCATGGCTTGATATTTTATAGATGCCAGGAGTTGGCAGGGCCCTGCATCTGTCTCGGTGTCACCCCTGTGTCCTCCAAAGAGTAGGCACACAGTAGGCGCTCAATAACGGCTTGCTGGGGGCAAGGCAGGAGCAAGCTGTCCCTGCACCTGTGGCAGCAGCTGCTTTGCTGGACTGCAGATAGGGTGACTGGGCCTGTCCTTGTCCCGCCCCAGGGCTCACCTGCTTAAGGAAACAGGAACCGCCTCGGGGCAGCCAGCCCCGCCCCATTGACGTGGGGACCCTGAATCGAAACCCAGCCTCCTGCTGGCGCTGCCACAGCCACCGTGAGGGCCTCGGCCATCCAAGGGTCTCCCAGGTACGTGCCCCAAGAGCCTCAGCCCCCCTCTCAGCCCCCGAGGAGACAGAGCATGGGAGCCGGGCTAGGCCAGAAGGAGGGACAGGGCTGGTGGGTCCTGGGGTGGCGGGAGGGATTTTCTGGTAGCATGGGGGAGGGCTTCGTGGAGGAGGGGGCATTTGTGGTCACCACTGGAAAATGGAGCCGGAGTTGGGGAAAGGCAGTCCTGGCAGGAAAACGGCATGAGCAAAGGTGTGGAGAGGTGGGAGAGAGAGCAGGGAGGTCTTTAGGTCTGGAATGTGGGTAGCCAGGAAGTAGAGGAGGCCCCCGGCCAGGGTCAGGAGTTTGAATTTCAGTATGAGTTCTTTCATCACTAGATAGCTGTTCATCAGCAAAGACCCTTGCACCCTCCACTCTGCCGGGCCAGCACCAGGACCCAGAAAACGACGACAACTCAGATCCTTAGGCCCTGATCCTTAGGAGGCCCTCAGGCTAGTGGAGACAGCCAGATATACTCTACCTCCATGGGGTCATGGCTGGACCAGAGGGAGGAACAAAGGGGAACACTGGGGACAGAGCGGGGTACAGGGCTTTGTCTGGGGGGAGAGGCAGGAAAGCTACCTGGAGGACAGGACATTTTCACTGGGTTTTGAAGGATAAGTAGGAGTTCTTCCAAGTAGAAAACAAAGAACAAGCCTGTCAACATTATCCCATGCTAGGTCACAACTGGATTCGTGAATATTGTATATGTCTCTCTATATATACACACTAACTAAACATTCCTAGGTAAATATCATTATCCCCAGATTAAAGACAGAAAGACAGGCACAGAAAGAGGCTATGTGACTTATCTGAGGTCACTCAGTGGCTAAGTGGGGAGCTGGGGTTTGAACCCAGGCCATCTGGCTCCAATTCTGGGCTTTTTTGTTGGTGGTGGTGGTGGGGTTTTTTGGGGGGTTTTTGTGAGACAGAGTCTCGCTCTGTCACTCAGGCTGGAGGGCAGTGGGGCAATCTGAGCCCACTGCAACCTCTGCCTCCTGGGTTCAGGTGATTCTCCTGCCTCAGCCTCCTAAGTAGCTGAGACTACAGGCACAAACCACTGTAATTTTTGTATTTTTATTTTACTTTATCTTATTTATTTATTTAGAGACGGAGTCTCACTCTGTTGCCCAGGCTGGAGTGCTATGGCTTGATCTCAGCTCACTACAACTTCCTCCTTGTGGGTTCATGCAATTCTCCTGCCTCAGCCTCTTGAGTAGCTGGGATTACAGGCATGCACCTCCTCATCCAGATAATTTTTGTATTTTTAGTAGAGACGGG